TCAGAATGACATTCTGCTCCCTGACCAGGGCAGAGGGATTCCAAGCTCAAGGCCAGCTTGGAAAATTTAGACAGACCCTGTCTCATGATAAAAGGAAATAAAACATAAAGGGCCATGAAGACAGTACAGTCGTAGAGTACTTGCACAGCATGTGGGAGGCTCTTGGTTCATACTGAACAAGAAATGGAGTGAGAAAGAGGACTTGTTCCCAAGACTCCTCTAAAAGATCAAGTGATCATGCAGTAGAAGAAAAAAATAATCAACTAGCTTTCCTGAGAAACAACCCAAAAGCTTCAATATGAGTTTTCACTACATGGTACTTCCTTGGAGGCTTGTTTAGCGTCACCTTTATATACAGTGAATTCTAAGGAAAGCCAAATAATACTTGTTGAAATGTACATTCAAAAAAGAGCTGTGGAGAAACTGAAATCTATGCCTTTGGGTGCTCTCTCCTTACCATCAAGGGAAGAAATGCTTTAAGTATATAAATACTGTGCCTGAGTACTGCTTTCTTTCACTGTTTTCTATAAAGGCAGCATTGCCGGAAGTGATGCAACGGTGTTCACCAAAGAATGATCGATGGAAAGTTGACAAAGGCTAGGAAAACAATGCTGGAGCTCCTAAAAACAGCCTGCTGATGTTGGCAGAAATTCAGGCCCTGCCAAGAGGAGCATTTCACACAGCAGGATGAGTGAGCAGGCATGATACCATGCTCCACTGGCAGGGCAAGTGTGAATTAGAGAGCGCTGGCTTCCTCCTGCCAATTAAGTGCTCACTATTACGAGAGCTAAAGACTCCTCAAAATGAATAAATGGGTTACACAGAATGGGGATTACCATTTAAGTAGAGCATTCTAACTTTGCTTCAGATCATGGGAATTCTCTAAAATCACAAAGGAGGGAATGAGCCGCGCCAAATAGTTTAATTTAATGGGAAATTTATTTCAGAAGAGAAGTTAAGGAAAATTTCTGGAGTTAAGTAATGACATTTAGAATTAGGAGAAATTTATGTAAAGACAACGTCCAAGAATAAAGTTAAGTGATAAAAAATTTTCAGAAAGACCTAGAAAAATCTGAGATACAGTCCTGAGGCATTTTTTAAGAGGAACAAAGAAAACTGTAAGCTCTTTATAGGCAATAATTAGGATAGTGGAATTTGACCTAAATTAAAGCAAAATATTACATATGCTTTATCATAAGCACAAGAACACACAGTCTGCATACACACACATTCCTTTCTACCTTACACAATCATTAAAAGCCTGAGATCAAAACGTTATTTCTGTTTCTTTTCTAATCTAATTAAACCATGTAATGTTGTCTATTACCTGTTATTAGTTTATACACATTACGGGGTTAAACAGAAAAATTAATATTAATTAAGGGTTTCATTCCACTGCAGCATTTATGTTACCAAATCACAGGAAAAGCGATCACTAATATAAGTAAAAACGTCAAATTCCATACAGCATTGTATCTGATAATCTAAGGCCAAAAGTCATGGCCTTAAGTATTCTCTTAAAAACAAGTGCTATACACATGAAATTTTAAACTCCATACTAAACATTGAATTATATGCCAAAATAGTTTCTCACCATATAACAGTCTTGTAAACTTTAAAAGGATGAAAAAAACCATAAAATTAAAAAAAAACAAAACTTTACAAATGATAAAATTTCCTCATAAAACCTCTTTTGTGGTTCTAATACCTTATTAATCTTATTTAATTTTTGTTAACAAACTTAAGTGACCGATTTGTCTTTTTTAATTTAAAATCCATGAGAGAGTCACACTGCACATTCCTTGACCAGATTGTGTGTGGCCTATTTATTTGAAATGTTTGATTCCACATGGATTTCTTCTCTTTTATTTATTATTTCTAGAAAAAAAAATTTCTCTAATAAGTTAGCAACTCAGGGGCAACCAATTTGAAATCTCAGCCCCCAAAGACTGCAGTACCCCAGGTCTGCTGCCTGCAATATTTTCTGAAAGGAACAGGAAGACCGACAAAGCACACACTTCGGTGTGGCGCATCAATCCAGTACAAACCACAAGGGGGTGGTCCACGGAGGTCAGGGTCAAAGGTCACAGGATAATTTGGAAATTATTCTCAGCTTGGATCTCCTTTATGAAGCCTGAGAATACACCCTTTAATTAGAATGCAATTTCCAAAGCAGCCACTCCCTTGGTTTTCCAGAGCTCAGTTATTCTCAGCAACAAGAAGTAAAAACAGCCTCATCGCACTGACAGGCAGTGGTCCTCTGTAAATTACGCCTTCAGCGTCCAACAAAGAAGGCAGCAGGAATCCAGGACAACAGAGGCATGAGCTGCCAGCCCTCAGTAACCACTTTTAAGAATAAAGGAAAGCTCGTGTTCAGCAGAGTTCCTGTCCTTCACGGCCTGCTTATGCAGCTCAGCTGCCCCACGGAAGCCTGGAAAAGAGTGGGTTGTGTGTCTGAGTATGTTCCCACACCCCAGCCGCTCTCATTTTTCTGATGAGCCCTTATCCAGCCAACCATGCGCTACAGTGGGACACTGACATCAATTCCGTGACAGCCAGCTGTTCGCCTCTTCCCAGGGCGCAGGACTCCTGGAACAGGAGCTGGGCCAGGCCTGACTCACCACAGATGTTCTCGCCTCCCCCACGCAGCCCTGGGCCAAAGGCTGTCTCTCTTGCCAAGGTCTGAAAATTTACTGACCTTCAGATAAGAACTACAGTTTGAAGGTGCAAACACGTATCTCCCCTAAACTCAGGGTTAAGAGAGGCAGACATTAAATTAGAAGAGATGACCGGAGAGCCAGTGGGGATAGTCAAGAGGAAAAGTCCCTGCTACAAAGAGTCCAGTGTCCCAGAGCCAGAATAGCAGATGCTACTGTAATAACTGAAGTTTCAAATGCTATCCAGAATTGAGTTTGTTTAAAGATGATATAACATGTTCCACTTCTGCAAATCCAGAAAGCGGTTTTACCTCTGCAGATCCAAGAGACTGCCTATAGCTTTTACTAAAACATCAAATAAACATGATTTTAAGTACATCTTTATCTCCAAACATATATTGGTCACTTATAATCTATGTGTCAACTCACAGAGATATGTGTTTGCACCTTCAAAGTATGATATGGAAAATACCAGAAATTGTAATCTGAACTCAGAGTCAGACATCACTGAGAAAAATCTGGAAATGCTTGCCGTTGCCAGCTAGAGAGGCCCTACTGTCTCTGGCTATTTTCTGTGTACCGTTCGTCGGTCAGTGCTTCTCCCGGCCCTCGCTCGCAGAGGGAGCTATCATCTTCCTCCCTGTGCCCCGTCAGTGCTATTGGTAGGAAACTCAACATGCTTCTGAATGCTCCAGGGTCCCCTGCTACAGAGTACATCGTTTTCTTAATCAACAAACTATTTCCAGAAATATTTTTGATCATTGTCCACTTAACCGAGAGAGAGAGAGAGAGAGAGAGAGAGAGAGAGAGAGAGAGAGAGAAATTTCGCAAACAAACATAATTCTCCATCTCCTTATGCAACAAATGCTTACACTATGCTAGTATAGGCCTTGGTAAAGGAGATTAGCAAAATAAGTCAATCAAATAAAACACACGGCGTTATGTTAAGAGAGAGAAAATTTCTATTTCTCAACAGGTGGTGTTGAAATTGCCTCACAGACCTGTTCAGCACTCGCTACTTCTGGCTGCTGGACATCACCAATAACACATGCCGGAATCTAGCAAGACCTTGTTTCGCAATAGCAGAGCTGACCCATAGATTGTATGTGACCGATACATGTTTGGAGATAAAGATGTACTTAAAATCAGGCTTATTTGATGCTTTAGTAAAAGCTATAGAAATCTTGCTCCTCAATAATTTGAGTTTAATTTCCTTCCTTTCCACTCATTTTGCCAAGAAAAAAGTATGCCAAAATAAAAAACAATTCTAAAATTAAACTAAGACACACTCATTTTTAGAGCTTTTGTTTGAAAACTGGAAACTCCCTTCTTAGTGTTTTTACCATTCCTGTTTGTTTTCTGCTAGGTTGATTTCTCCACACCCCTCCCTTTTTCCTGCTTTATTTAGTTTGATTTTTAGTTTGGGCCAGGCACCTCGTATTCTAGAGAATCTGGGAATAATATAGCTTTGCAAACTCTGTAAACATAAAAAGTAACATAAAAATGGCCTAAATCAAGAAGTTGTCGAACTGATCAATTGAATTTAAATAAATAAAATTAACACTTGATTCTAAGAAATTGATTATTTACTTCCCACTTTGAAAAATGGACTTAGCGATAGTTATCTTGGATAGAAATTTCAAAAGAACTCTACAGTGTTGATCTGTGCTCGTATACATGGGTTACATAGAATAATTCAGTATGTGACAATCCATCTCAGATTCACCTGGGGGAACTTATCAACCAGAACATGGGCTCCAGAGAGTGGAAAGCCTAATCTTACACAGAATCACCATTCTGAGCAGAACCGAAAGCCACAGGTATTTCAAGGCACTCAGAATAGAGTAAAACACCAAAGCTTCTGCGCCATCCTACAGAGCAATTTTAGAAAGCAGGAGAGTATCAAAATGAAGACACAAACAGATGGTGACATGACAGTGACTGACAAATGAAACGATCGCAGACCCCTTGGATGCAAGACCAGCGATCACAACAGCACCACCGCACTCCAAGGTCATCTTCTTTAAAGTGGCATGCTCCACATTTTTTAGAGTTGTATGATTCCGCTGAGTAGCTGCTTAGGAACTAAGAAACCTGAACACATCTCTCTGAGAAGCGAATCTAGAACATGCAAGTCGATTCATCCCTTCTTAAAGAAATGATGGAAGCCGACAGACAGAATTATTTGTATGCCAGTTTGAGTTCTGTCATTTAAAATACTCATGAAAACACTCCCAAGTTAATTCTTCATTTATGGATGTGGAGTCATACGAGTACTGACCAAGAGCGTGGCGTCACTGTTTATCCCCGAGTCACCCACACTGTCTCTTTAAAAATACCTACTTCTGATGAGTTCGCCAGCTGACGGATTTTCCCACGAGGTCTGGTCCTGCATCTCTCCGGGGCTGAAGTGGCTATTGGTCGCTTGAGTCATATCTTTCGCAGCATGGTCTTTATCACATCTTTCTGAATAAAAAAGAATACACATTTATTATCATTGACTATTATGTGCTTTTCTCCAATTATGTGGGCTATCCATTTTTCTTCATGTATCTCCATATATCACAGCTTAAGGAAACACAAGTAGAAACACTGCCTCAGTAACACTAACTCAAGAAACACCTACCGTGTGCGCTGAAGAAACAGAAACATTCAGAGTGAACAACAAGTTAAGGTTATAGTAAACAAGCAATTGTAACGTAGCAAGTCATCTGCCTTGATAAAGCAACGTGGAGAGGTTACACAAGGATGAAAGTGAAGGGGTCTGTACAGCGAGGGGGCAGCTATGTCAAGGAAGCATCAAAAGACGTGAGAGACCAATGAATGGTGGGGATCAAAGTCGGACTGCAAGTCAATGAGAAGTGACTGAGTGGCATGGAGGCGGAATGCAAGTAAAGAGTTCTTTCTGTAGGAATTTTGGAAAAAAGTTAAAGAACATGTAATGCATGCTCAGAGAAGAAGCGTGTTGGGGATGAGAGACTTAGATGGGGGCTTAGGAGTTCTCAGGGGAGAAAACCAATATGTAGTCTTGTTGGTAATGCAAGTCAAATAAAAGCAACCTACAACACCAGGTAAAATGCACGCAATGAAAGGCCCAGAGCACTAAAGCGGTTCAAAAGAAAGGAAAAAAACTCATCAGGATTGAAAGATCAAGAAAGACACTACAAAAAGGGTGCATGTGGGACGGTCTTTAAAAGATTAGAAGGATTTCGAAAAGCCCAGATGGGAGAAATATGGAAGAACAGCATGAGAAAACTGCAAAGATGAACACTGGCCAAAGGTGCCCACTTCCTGGGCTGTGAAGCACTTTCAGGGGGACATTAGAAGAGAAGGTGCTCCGGGTTTGATCCCTGGAATAAAAAGAAGAAGAAGGCCAGAGGTTTGATTAGAGACAGAGTGTGGGTATTTAATGCCAAGGTGAGAAACCTGGACCTAATTTAAGAACGAGATAAGTGAAAGTATCCAGCGGAGCTTCAGGAAAAGCCTAAGCAATGCCACATACTAGGAAGATTCGTAACCTTTTGTGCAACAATGGCTCTCAGACTTCACTACACACGATTTAACATTATTGTGTGTAGTGAAATTTATCGGAATCAAAGCAGATTTCCGAGCCACACCAACAACACGGGGTTGGAGATGACCAAGTGCTTAGTCTGGAGCTGCCTGAGAACTGGAGATCTGGAGATTGCCAATCTAACTACATATGAATGTATGTGCAACGCAGCAGATGCTCAGGAACTGGACCGAGTGATAGCAGTACGAATTATGAGATGCAGACCAGACCTTTCTCTGCAGAGAGTACAGTCTAATGGTCCAGTTCAATACTGGGAATTTAAACTCGCAAGCCAGAAAAAAAGGAGAGGTGCAGCTAGATACAGTCATCATCTTAAAAACCGATAGCTGAGGTCTTTTGAATTAAAAAGCTCACCAAAAGAATGAATGTGTTAAAAAGAGTATTCAGGACAGTCTGCAGGCAGGGAAGTAAAAAGCAGCCAGGGTTGGAACCCCGGGCCTGAATGCTTCGCTGGCCCCGCCCCAAGGCACGCTGAGCTGGTGAACAAGTCCAGGTGGTGCATGCCTGTAATCCCAGCTTGGGAGGCCGAGACAGGAGGATCACTATGAGTGTGAGCTGCGTAGTGAGACCCTGTACCAAATACATAAAGGGAGGAGGAGGA